CTTTCAAGGGGGGGCAGGGGGGTGATTTCCTCGTATACCTTCTACTTACCAGCCACACTCAAAGACGTACATAAGCATTCCGGCTAAAGCCATCGGCGTTGTTGTTCTGCACGTGGAGAGTCCCAACCGCACTCCACCTTGCTCGTGCCCCCACCCATGCACGCCGGGATGAAGGTGAATGGGACTATATGCCGTCACCCGCTCGCATCGAAGCGTTTTTTGATGGTATTCCGCGACGAACGAGGCGAGGAGATGCCTGAAATGTTTGAGCTGCTGACACGCTACGAGGCAGTTGCGCCAATAGCACGGGGGACATACGGATTTGTGTGTGCCGCGCGCGACAATGAACTGGTGGAGGAGTTTCAGCTCAATCCACCCGCGGAGTACAGTGATGAGAATCTCACAAAGGAGGAGCGCGCAGAGATGTATGAAGTCAACACAACGGTCGCGGTGAAAAAGTTACGGCAGCTGTTCGAACGTAACCAACCGCGCATGTGGCTCTGCGCAACGCGGGAGATTCAACTCATGATGGCATTCAACCACGAGAATGTGATGTCCGCGACAGACTTCTTCATTCCGCTCGGCGAGTGTGAGACGATGACATACGAGTCGGTGGAGCACCTGCGTCTGAACTTTGACAGTGTGTACGTAGTCATGAAGAAGATGGACTACACACTGCGCGAGGTCCTCGAGTCCAGCAGCTACACGCCTCCAGAGGAAGACAAGCCCGGGATGGGGGAAGAAGCAGCCGCAGTAGCAGAAGACGGGGAGGAGGGAAAGATGCCTCCTGGAGCAACGGCGAGTCCTGCGGAAACAGGGCTTGGGGAACGTGCGAAGGCTCGCATCTTGACGTGCCCGATTACGCACGTCCCACTGCATCCCCTCCAGCGCGACTACCGCATGTACATCCTCTACCAGCTCCTGCGCGGCGTGGGCTACCTGCACCTGTGTCCCGTCATCCACCGCGACATCAAGCCAGAGAATATCATGCTAGACCGCAACTACAGCACGCGTGTGTGTGACTTTGGCCAAGGCCGTGATGCAGCTGTGCTGGGGATGAACGATGTCCTCCAGACGTACCTGGACAACTGCACGCAGTGGTACGCCGCACCGGAGACTCTCACGCTCAACAACGTCCCCTCCTCCACTGGCTTTGTCGATCAGAAAAGTTTCCACGGTGCCGATGTGTGGTCGATCGGCTGCATTGCGGCAGAGATGCTGATGGGGCGGCCGCTCTTCTACAGCAAGCATTTCGGTGGCACGGGGCAGCTGCACGCTATCATGGGTGTTCTCGGCTCCCCAACCGACGAGGAGGTGGAGAACATTCTGCAGCACCGTGACGTGGACACGCGCAAGGTGTTTCAGGAGATGCTGAAGCAGGAGATGCAGCAGTACGCGCACAAGAAGTCACAGCTGCGGCAGCTGCTTACGAGCCCATACAACGACGTGGACGAGGAGGAGGTGAAGCTCATTGAGAACTTCCTCCGTTACGGTCCGTGCCGCCGCATGACGATACAGGAGGCGCTGCAGAGCCCATTCTTCATAAACGAGGGATACGACCCGGTGATTGACCCCGACGATACCGCGACGCACGTGCGGGCGGTACAGGCCGACGACATTGTAGAGGCGGTAAAGGGGCGCGAATTCCTGTGGTCGCTGTTCCTGCAGCGCCACCCGGAGGTGCAGGAGCTCGTCGGAATGCTGGAGCGCAGGAAGAGCTGCACATTAATAAATGGTGATGCACGAGGACTGTGTGTGGCGCGGTAGACGCGTATTTATACAAGTGCGAAGCGAGCTGAAGACCAGAGGAGGGATATGACTTGAGAGGGAGAGGGAGAGACAGAAATAAAATGCTGTTACCTCTGCTTCATGCCGAGTGCTCTTTTTCTCTCTCTCTCTCTCTCCCTCTTATATTCTCGTTTGGTGTCACGAACATCTGTGAAAGTGAATTGCGTCCTTACTATGGTTTTCACTTTTTTTTTTCGTGCGTGCGTGTGTGTGTGTGTGTGTGTGTGTGTGTGTGTACGGTTTGTGTCAGGGTTTCTTTTGTCGTCCGTCGCGTGTGTGCCTCCAGCTGTTTCCGTCGCTACTCGCCGGTACTCTTCTTTCTTTTTCTTTCTCCCTCTCGTTGTTGAACTCGCGCTCCTTGTGTGTTTGTGCAGCTGCTGCAGTGGCCGCGGGCTAGGCGCACCGCCGCCACGCACCGAGGGAAGGGCAGGGGGCGCGGCAACAAGCACCGCGAGGGGCCGCCGCCTCGATGGAGTCGCCCTCGGCCGACCAGTGCGCGAAGAAGAGACTCGTTCTGGCGGAGCTGCTGGCGGCCCGCACCAAAGACACCGTCGCAGATGTCTCACGTGCCATCCGCACGACATTCTTCAACGGCGCGGCGCTCAACATGGGCGGCGTGTTCCTCACCAGTGCCGCGGCAGCGCGGCGTGGAAACTTGACGGAGACAATGCTCTTCCACGACGGCGTCACAAAAGTGGCATCAGTGGGTACGAATGATGAAGAAGGGGGAGGCCGGTGGGTGCGTGGAGTGCTCATTGCCTCAGGCACGCTTTCGCCGCCGCCGGACTCGATATTCCTTAGCCGGAAATTGAACGGACGGACGCTCTTCGCCCGCATGTCGCCGCTGCTGCTGCGAGTTGTGGGCGTGCCGCTCGCCACATTCATCCCGCAGCCTGACAGAAGCAATAGCAAAAATAGCGATGCAAGTGCCGCGTCGCTGCAGGAGTACAGGTATCGCATGCAGCAGTGTGAGCACCGCTTCCTGCAGGACGTGGAGGCGTGTCTAATGTGGCTGCTGCATTGCCGGCAGCGGGAGAAGGCGGCGCGGGCCTGCATGGGGAAGCGCAGCGACGCAATATCGCACACGCGCAGACGCCGCAGCAGTCCGTTGTCCGTGTCGCCCGCGCTTCCTCTCGCCCCTTACTTTAGCGAGGAGCCAGCGACCCTCTCGGTGCCAGTCTACTATCTGCCGCTGCAGATTGAGGACAACGCCACATCACGCCTCGCCGACGTTGTTGACGTCGCCACTGGCTTCATGGACCTGCTGGTGGATGCTGAGGCCTCCATTGCGCAGACGACGACAGCGTTCCTGGTGGACATCGTGCGGCTCTCGCAGGAGTTGCAGAGTGGCGACGAACAGCACGCGCAGGCTTTCGACGAGGGCCTCTACGATCTCCACCGCCGGGCTGCGGCGCTGCTGGATGCGGCGCACAGCCCTCATTGTTCGGCGACGGGGGGCAGTGTAGTTGCGGCGGCGACTGTGTTTGATGCGAACGACGAGAATGACGTACCCCTCGCGGAAATGGTGTTGGATGACTCGCCGAGAGTCTTGCGGACCCCGCCGCCAGCCATTCCCGTTGATGGTGGTGGTGGTGATGATGATGATGATGACGACGCGAGTCGCTGCTCTACCAGTAGTGCTGCTGGCTGCAGTGGCAATCAAAACCACGAAAAGAAGTCACCGACAGAAGACAGGAACCGTGGCGGCGGCAGCGCGCGTCCTCTGCCAGGTGTTCTCGTGCACTGCATGAAGGGGGTGTCAAGGAGCCCAAGTATCATCATGGCGTACTACCTGCAAAAGTGCCGTGTTGACTTTTACGCGCTCTCCCGTGTCCCTCGGCGTCACACAAGAGAGGCAGCGCCAGTAGTAGTAGCTTCATCAGCAGGGGACGGAACGGCAGCGTCGGTTGTAATGGGCGTGGGGGCGCCTGGCGTTTCTGGTGATAATGAAGAGATGTACACCTCTTTCTTCCTCCAACTGCTGCAGTGTATGCGGGAGGCACGACCCGTCGTGAATCCGCAAGTCTGCTTCCTTGTCGAACTGCGATCGATGTGGTCTCGGCTCGCACAGGGCGTTGCCGAGGAAGAAGCAGAGAGACTCCTATGAGAGGGAGGGGGATAGTATATATATATATATATATATATATATTCCATTCAGTATTTTGTTCCCGTTCATACATTACACGACTATGGACCGAGTGGATACGCTCCACATGATGGTCTAGTGTCGGCTCCTCTTGATATTTCTTTAGGCTCTAGCTCTTCTTTTACTGTTGCTCTTACTGACTCTCTGTCGCAGTCTCTCTCCTCCGCGCGCGCTTTCTTGCATGATTGCCGCTATGCATATATATATATCTCTCTCTCTCTTTATGTGTGTGTTATCAAGAACTGCATCACTGCACCCCTGTGAGCAGTCTTTTAGCCGCAACCCCTCCGTCACCCGCACATGGCAACGCTTAAGGTGACTGTGCACGAGGCGCGGGATCTCCCCATTATGGACCGCACCACCGGCCTTGCCGACCCGTACGTCGTCGTGAAGCTCAACGACTTGGAGTACACGACGGAGATTGTGCACATGTCGCGGCATCCGGTGTGGAACAAGGTGTTCCGCCTCGACACCCCGGACCTTCTCGTGCTTCAGGAGGACCCGCTGGAGGTGCGGCTGTACGATCATGACATCATCAGTCGCGACGACATTGTTGGCCACACCTTCGTCGACTGCAACTCGATGGTACTGCAGAGTAACCCGTCAATGAGCGGGTGGTTCCCGCTCTTTGATACCAGCGCGGCGGGTATCCGTGGCGAGATTCGCCTCACAGTGAAGATAAAGTTCCACACCGCCGAAAATCCGCTTGCGCCACGACTGCCGACGCGTCATGTGCCGCGACTGCCGCCGCTTGGCACCGAGCACACTAGCACAGGCGAGGAGGCGGTGTCGCTGAACCCGCTGCCGGTACTGTCGGGAGTGGAAGGGATAGAGCCACTGCGGGCTATGCGGATGCAGCACCCTTCCCTCACCGCGGAGGATGAAGGTATTCTAATCTTCTCCGTTTCGAGGTTGGACCCTTCTGTGTACCGTGTCGAGTCAGTGCTGACGATGGTGGAAGAGCTCATTGTGAAGGCAGATCCCGAGCATTCAAAGCTGACCAACCTGCGCAGCACCCGCACCACCAACGAGGCACGCATTGTGCAGTTGTACAAACTCAGCGGCAAGGTGCGGCGGCAGTTGGCGCGGAAGGTGGTTGAGATGCAGTGCAACGCGGTGCTCGGATATGTGGAAGTGTTTGACATGGAGCCGAATGGTATTATTGTCCGCGCGTACGGCACGCCGTGTGTCCTCTCCTCTGTTAGATTTGTTGACCGCGAGAGTGCGGAGCCGTCCCTCATTATCGCTCCGCAGCTTGAGCCGCGGCCAGTAGAGGTGCCCTCTGGCTACACGTTGCCTAAGCTTGACCCATCGAATATGTCGCTGCAGGCACCTGTCGCTGAAACCTCTGAGCAAGTCAACAACAGTGCGTGTACACCGCTAGGAATGGTGGGATTGCCCATCGTAGCACCGGTGGAAAGCGGGGCTTCGCTGTCGCTTGTGGAAGCGGACCCGCAGGCGAGTAACAGCTGCGCCAACGCCCCACTTCTACGGTCATCGGTTTCTGGGCACGTGCAGCTGATGCCTTCAGCACACGAAACCCCCTCATTTGGTGTCGCACATGCCCCCACCACTTTCACAGAGGCACCATCGCAGCCGGCAGCGACAGGGACGCGCACGAATGTGCTGATTTTAACACTAAAGGACCTCCCGTCCGGTATGGTGGAGCACATTGGTGGACACATCAGCGCGCGCTCGGTGAAAATTGTCGCCAAAATGAAGTCCAAACAGATGATTTCGCAGGAGCGCGACGCATGGTGGATGGAACTGCGTGAGGAACTAAGGGCGAACGCGCGGGCGTTCCACTGCAACGTGATTTTGGGATATGAGGAGGTAGTGCTGTACCACGAGGATGTTGCAGTGCTGTCGCTCTTTGGGACGGCTGTGATGCTTAACCCCACGATGCATCCCCTGCGCTGCGGCCCGGAGTATCTCTTTCAGCGCGCCAGGAGGCGCTTCGCCGCGCGGAAGAGCTGCTCGGTGCTGCACATGTACCAGCACGACCTTCTCTCCAGGGATATTGCGGGGGAACTGGGTGACCTCATTACGTGCAACGTCTGTCACCGCCGGCCCGTGCCGGAGGTGTTATTGATGTCCTGTGCAATGCCGCAGGATATTGCGTGCGAGGGACAGCCCCGGCTCGTGCAGGCCGTCGTCTCCAAGGCGAAGAGCGCTGTCCGTGGAATGGGCCTTGCTCTTGCCGTATCGCAGGCATTGCCATACATTGAGTACACCCTGCACAAGCAACTCCTCTTTAACCTAAAGCTCCAGCAACTAAACGCGGTTTTTGGAATTCGCATCACCATATGCATCTGTCTTGAATCCATCATCGGCACTTTGACAGGCACGGGCTGCCGCCTGATGGGGCTCCCGGTGCCACCGTTGCCGCGGGTGGAGATTCTCGACCCGGCAATCCGCCGCAATGAGACGGTGATGCGGCTGCAGGATGTTGTGGCAAAGCGCACCCGAGCTCGGCGGCGTCATCGTCGATCGCGTCGTGCATCTGGAATGCTGCGAGATTCCGCAGCAACAACACCATCACCACTGTCGTCGCCGTCATCGTTGTCAGAAAACCAGGCGTATGACTCGGTTTCCTCAACGACGTGGGTCGATGATGGCTCCGGCTCTGACTCTGCCAGCGAGCATGAAGCGTACGGCATCGGCAAACCCGGCAAGGTGTCTGACTACGTTGTCAAAATTGACGATGAGGAGGAAGCAGAGATTATGCTTGGCATGAGTGGGGATCTGGCGTTTGAAGATAGCCTCCTTCTCACCATTCCCTACATGCCAGAGTGGGTGAACGCATTCGGATCGCAGGAGCGCATTGTGATGCATCGTCGGTACACATTTATCCGAACACATCATGGATATATATCCACAGGGGCAATTAATGAGTGCTTTGCAGAAGCCAAGCGTGCCTATGTGCAAACAGTGTGTCGTGTGGCGCTGCGGCGCAATCGCCACCCGCTAGAGCTACTGCGTGTGATGGGGTTCACTCTTGACATGTTCTTCGAGCCCAACTCCGGCGCATTGCAGTTGCGACTGGAGGGATGCCTCATGACGAGCACTGCGCCACAGCGTGTGCGGCTGATGGAGCTAGAGGACAGAGCCTTCAAGGAATGTATGAGGTACCTGGAGGGCGACTCACGCCCGGTGCCTTTTGTCCACAACAGTTACGCCGGGTCGACGACGGTGACCGCGCAGCCGGTGGATAACAGTAGTGCACTGCGTGGCTCGCTGTGCAGCGGCCGCACGGTGGACGGGAGCGCCACCTCAGCTCTGGGCGGTGGCGGCCATGCGGAGAAGGTCATTGTGCGCCACGTTGAGCGCAGCATCTTCATAATGTGTAACGCACCGTATGCGCTTCCCTTCGTGTTCAAGCGAGACGTACCACCACCTTTGTTGTGGTCGAACGAGAACACTGATGCGGCAGCCTCAACATTGCCTGACAAGTATGGCTACTACAGGGACAACCGCGCGCGACCCGGGATGATAGAACGACAGTGGTATGCCTTCACATCTCTCGCCTCGACTGCCATCCGCAATGTGATTGAGAAGATTGGCGCATCCACCGATGGGAAGGGCGGCGTCGACACGCGTCACCGCGATAGCAACACTGCATTGGAGCCGCCGAGTGGCGGTCCCATGCTGCATCAACCGATGAGGCGGATCCCAGAGGACTTCCGCGCATTTGAGACGACCGACACAGGTGTGGTCTTCACACCGCTGGACTTTGTAGCGGGCAGAACGATTGCGAGGTACGTTGGCCGTCTTTCTCAACATTTTATCCGTGAGGTTTACGAGATTGAAACCCCCACAGACCTCGGTGTATACTTCCAGCAGACGGATTTTGAGGTGCAGCGTTTGGTGCAGACGATGGTGCGGCTGATGGGTGGCGACACTCTGCTGAAGCACCGCATGACGTACCACGAGGTGTGGGACTCGGATGGCTCAGGGTGTGCCTCTGTGTTCATCACGGTGACGGGGGATGTAGTGCAGACAAGCAAAGTGCCGCTGGTGCCGCTGTCGTCGAGTGGCGGCGATGAGGATGAGGGTGAGGACGATGCGTTTGATGTTTGATGGAATGAAAGACCTCCTGGGGACTTAGGGTGGGAGGGGGGAAGGTACCCAACGCCAAAGAAACATAATGTGGCCACTCTGAAACGTCAAGCAGAACCCTGGCGCATTCGATGCGAGAATACAATAGCATTCCCACACACCTGTTATATTTTTCTAGTTGTCATTGACGTTGCTGTTGTGTTATAAACTGTGGTTGTAGCCATGCGCTAAGGTACGGAAGCACGGCCATTATTAGCAGTGGCGCAGTTACTTGCCTCAGCCTCTATAGTATATTTTTTTTCGTCCTTTATTTTGGTTTTAGTGTTGGTGGTGAGCACTGGCTTTTGGCAGCTGGTAGATGCAAGTGCTGGCTGTGGATGATGGCGGGCTCTGCGCACTATCGCCGAATCAGAGTCTCTATGCTGTTGTGACGAAGGGTCTGACGGTGGTGTTTATGGATTACATCCGGCGCACAAGCGAGTTGATGAGCTCCGATCCGCTTGCCGGTGAAAATGGTGATGGTCCTTCCCCCAGCAACATCTACAACGACGGATCACCGAGAGCGCCCGATCGTTGCGTTGACGCAGTCATCTCCAAGCATATCGCTCTTGACGAGATACACGAGCTGCAGTGGTCGCCCGATAGCTCTCTGGTGGCACTCCTATTAGCACGGCGTCGGGTTGTGGAGATTGTGAGTGTCTACGGCAAGTGCTGTGTGGCCCGCATTGATGCCGGCATTGCGGGTCTGCGTGCGGTGCGGTGGCACCCTTCGTCGCGTGTCGTTTACTGGGTGGGGTTGTTGCAGGCCCACGTGCTCTCTCTCGTGGACAGCCAAGTGATGCGCCTTGCCGGTGGTGTGAAGTACTCCGCCCAACTCGCAGCGCGGCGGTTGACGGCGAGTCCCGCCCCACGCCGCGATACGTCTAGCTGCGCCGCCACGGCGGTGGTGGAACTTCCGGTAAGCGAGGCGGCGCTGCTGCGCTTTTCCACCTGCCGCCGTTTCCTGTTGTACGTGACGCCCAAGTCCCTGCGCTCGCCGCTGTTGTCCAAAAGCGACGGGCAGACAATCGCAACGCGCGCGACGAGTAGTGAAATGGCGCCGCCATCTTCACCCCCTGCTTCTGCTAGTGGTGAGGGTGAAACGAGCAACCGCCCGAGGCGCAGCGAGTGGTTAGTTGTGGCGTCGGCCACCACGCATGAGGAGCTGCACGCCTTTCCTACGGGGCAGCTTGTGTCGTGTGTGTCGGAGTGCATCCCATTACAGGGCGGCATCGCACTGGTTGACTACGTGCACGGATCGCTGGCGCTGACAACGCATAACGGCGCACGCGTGCTGCATCAGGAAGCGTCGGGTGTGCAGAACGTTGTGTCTTCGAAAAACGGCGCCATACTCCTTATTGTGTTTGCTGACGCCTGTCGTGCTGTTCTTGTGTCCAAGAAGCGTGTCATGGCGCTGCGGCAGATCTCATTTCACGCGGATGTGCTTCTGTCTCTGCGGCTTCGCGAGCTTCCAGTGTTGGAGGAGCCGATGTCGGCGGAAGACGCCTCCATGAAACTTGCACGGGGTGGCGCACCGTACCGGCGATGTGTTGGTGCTCTCGGGCAATTGAATAATGGTGCGGACTGGTCACAGGGAGAGACACGAGGAGCGCCATTAGCAGGGCATGCGGCGATCAGTGCATCTGGCCAGATGGCTGCGGTCACGCTGGGGCTCTGGCCGTCTTGTGTGCTGGTGCTGGATATTTTGCGGCAGCGCGTGATGGCGGTGCTGCGGCACTGTGAAACTGTCATGGGGCTTTTCTGGAGTCCTTCCCCCTGCTCGGAGTACTGGGGATTCCAGCAACGCCACTACATACAGCAAAAAAGAGTGTATGATCGTGGAGCTGGCCATGCCACACCCGAAGCAGCAGCAGCAGCAACCGCAACTACAGCAGCAACTGCAGAGGAGGCGCCCCTGGGGCTGAAAGAGCCTCTGCTTGTTACATCGGACAATCACGACGCCAAGGTTTTCCTGTGGCTGGCCAACTGCGCCACATGCTATGTTGCCCCACGCCTGAGTGACGGCAGCATGGATATTACCAATAGAAGAAAGCAGCGCAGTGGCACGCCTTGCCACAGCGGCGAGTTGCCGAAAGTGCGGTTGAACCGCGGCATGCTCGGCGGCAACGCCGCGGACGCGGTACTGGTGGATGACGTGCGTGGGATTGCCATCACGGTCGCATTCCGCAATGAAGAAGGTGAAGTGAATAGAAAATGAGAGGGTTTCTCTCGCTTTTGGTGTCCGTGTGGGTCTTTGTGTGCGGGCGTGCGGTTGTGTGTAGAAGGGAATGGGAGCGACTCTTCCACCCCAACATGGGCAAGAAACAACATCGCATGACTCTTTATATTCATGTGTCTCTGTGTTTCGCTTCGGTGGAGGTGTAGAGGTGGAAGGGGACTGTGCACACTGCAGTGGACTCTTGTCCCTTTGGGCCCCGTAGTGGGTTTTAAAACACAGAAAAAAAGGTGCGAAAAGGCATGTGGCGCGGCCTACGCGTGTTGCCACGCCCATGCGTTGCAAAGAAACAGGTGGCAGCGGCGTGTGCAGAGCAACTCCGCTGCACATCCTACTCATCCTCGTCATCATCAACTTTCTCTTGCGGGGAAGCACACGGCGCGACGGGAGGGGGGACCAGCAGCAGCAGCAGCAGCAGGAGTGATTATGAAAAAACTGGTGGTGAGAATGATGGAGGGTTCGAAAAGACATTCTCCGCGGCGACAGCGGGCGAGCGCCGGCGCATCGCAAGGAATTGGGAGAATGCCTTCTTTGGTCGCGTGCACTACGAGCCGGGAATGCACGAGCAGTACCAGAGCGCCGTCGAGTCAGAGGACGCGGAGGCGGGGCCAGAGCAGAAAAGCAATCGCGAGTTGTTTCCTGACTGGCCCGAGGACGAGGAGGCGCCGCTGCACGAGTTCCGCCGGTTGCCAGACGCACTGAAGAAGCGCTACATCATCAACCGCCTTTCGATGGGCGAACGGCGCATATTGTACGCCCCGGACTATGGCAGCCTGCTCATGATGCAGCACCTCAACCTTGGCGAGCTCATGATCAACGAGGCGGAGCGGCTTCTCGTGGAATGCGGGTGGCTCAACGAGACGGTGGGGGCGAAGATTGCCGCTGTGCGGGACAGCGCGGCGAAGGTTAAGTTTGACTTTGACCTCGATTGAAGAGTGGTGTGTGGCAGGGGAATTGAGTTGCAGAGCAAAACAGAAGAGAATGACTGTATCAATGCTTTTTTATGTACTCTTCTTTCACCACTTGTCTTCTTCAGCAAAGAATACATCAAAATCCAGCAATAGTAAAATCGGTAGTATACAGGAACTTTTTTTTTGTTTTGTTGTGTTTGTGTGATTTTTTTTTTTGTTGAGTCTCTGTGCGTGTGTGTGACTTTTGCGCTGAAACTAAGAAGGAAAAGAGAAAGCGGAAGCAATGCGGATTAACGTCTCCGGCGCGCGACCGGAGCATACAATCAATGGTTTAGAGGTCAACCTGGACGACGGCGTCGATGGGCTGCGACGCATTATTGCGGAGCGGTTCCACGCTGCGCCTGAGCAGTTGCGGCTCATTCACATGGGACGCCTAATTGATGGGTCTGCCCCGCTGAGCTCGTTCCTGAGTGAGGGCGCCACGGTCCACGTGGTGGTCTCCCAGCCCGCACCTCCTCCCGGAGCTCGGCCTCCAGACAACAGCGGCGGCAACAACAGCAACGACAACAATATGCCCCGTCCTGGAGGTTTTCCCCTCCGTGAGTTTTTTGGCTCGCTTGCAAACATCATCTCCGGGGTTGAAGATGCTGCAGGCGGAGCTTTGCCAAACCATGCGCCCGGCCTTGAGCCGTTTGCCCGGGTCATGTTGTTGCCGACGGGGGGAATGGAGATAGGCAGGGAAAGGGGTGGAAACTTTGCACCACATCAAACGCAGCAGCAACAAAATCAAACGCAGGAGCAACAAAATCAAACTCAAGAAGAACAAAATCAGCCACAGCAAGAGCCATCTCAACAAACATTTCATCGCTTTGTTTTTTCGACCAACGGAATGGTGCCAGAGGCGCCGCCACCCACCACGTTGCACATTCACGTGCACGTGTCCCTCGATGAGCTCGAACAACTTCCCGAGCACCTCGAGCGATTCCGCGGGCGTATGCGATCCCCCGGGTGGAACGTCTACACGCAGGTTGGGCGGGGGCCTCTCCCGCAAGCCGCCCCACCTTCTGCGCAGCCAAACGCGACAGCTGCAACAGCCGAAGCGGGCAACGGCAGAGGCGGCGACAACAACGCCACTGAAGCCAGCGGTGGGGAAGGCGCCGCTGATGACGCGGCGCGCAGCACCGGAGGATTTGCAGGCAGTTCCCGCCCTGGACCAAATGGGGGCGAAGACGCGGCACCCCGAGGACTGGTAGAGCTATTCATTGCATGTTTCAGGGGCGAGCCACCCGAAGCCATCCTTCGGCTTCTCTTTCAAGAGCAGCCTGCTATCGCGGCAGCCCGCCAGCGCATAACAGAGACAGTTGAAGCTTGGCAAAGGGAGCTGCAGGCGGGTTCGCCGCTTACACCGGAGGAGGTTCGGCGGCGCGCCGTGGAGCGCGAAGCCGGCGAGATGATCCAGGCAATGCAAAGCAACCCTGAAGTGACGAGAATCGTTGAGCAAACTGGGCGACTCGGAGTTGATTTCTTCGCCGAGATGCGAAGGCTCCTCACCAATACGCTCGAGGAGTTTTTGCGCGCGGTTCTGAACCCGGCCACGGGCGCGGATCAAGAGCAGTGGGCGGGCGGTGTGCGGGCAGTGTTTGTCCGCGCCGCAGGTATCGCCACGGACCGTGCGCCGGTCTGGTTCGCTCAAGGGGTGGAGGGGCTTGTGAACGTCGCCCTTGTGGCCATACGGGTTGTGATGCAGCGGTTTGGCGCGGGCGGGATCCACGAAATGTTCACGCCCTTCCTCCGAAACATGGTCCCTCACGCCCTCCGGGCCTTTCTTGCAGAATACACGGCCCAACATCGGCTGGACAGCGACGCTGCTTTTTTTCAGGAAAACACCGCGCCCACGGCAAGGGAAGAAACAGACGAGGAGGACGATCTGTTAGACGATTGCTTGGCCGAATTCTGTGCCAAGGACGGCCCCACGGTGTCAGCTGCGGGGCCTGCGCCAGACGAGTTGCGCGACGCCGTGCATGCCTTTGGCCGGATTCCCGAGAGCGGGGCGGAGGACATCGGCAGGCGCGCGCAGCGGTTCCGCTACGAGAAGCCGCCTGAGGAGACAGGCGAAAGCTCAACGATGTGGAAGCACATATCAAAAAAATAACCAGCGAAACGCTTGATATTTTCGGTTTTTGTTTTCTTTTGCAATTCTCACCATTAAATCGGGAAACATTCTCCCCCGGG